TTTCAATGCTAAGTCAACACCTAGCTTCTATTGCTGCCTTGCGCCTCGTCTTGCCCAGTTCCTTGTCCACCCCGTTCCTCGACAGACTTCCTAACCCCCAGGCCGTAGGTCTCGATCTCTCTTTTTATCCTTACAATTTTATGCAACTCTGCCTCGTTGAAAAAATCCAGTGGTGTAGCTTCCACCCCTGACCTTGCGAGTTCCCGAGTTTTGATAATTCATTCGTGCCTAATTACATTGGTCCATTGCTGAAACTAATGACTGGGCGTTGACCCGAACTCGTCCTCCCATCAGAAAGCCGCATCGCCCGGTTGGTGCATCGGAGGCCGCCCTTCTTCCCTAGGCCTTGAGATCTCATCCCCGCTGCTCATTTCTATAACTTCTCGCACATCCTCCTCCTCGTCCCCCTCGTCTTCAGTCTGTATGGGGCTATACCCACCAGCAAGGTTCTTTGGATCGTAGGTAAAAGGGATCTCTGTCCCCGTCCCATACCCCTCGCAACTGCCGTGACCGTTTCGTCCTTCAAGCGGGCTCTCCCTTTTCTCCTCGTCCTCCTCACGTTTGTCGCGCATACCCTGTCCCCCCTCGCTTTCCCCATGCCAAGTCTCACGTCGTTCGCCCCTGTTGGCCCCTTCCTTGTTAGAGACCCGAACCTTATCTCCCATTTCTGTGTTGCCTCCTTCTTCCACATTTGCCCTTCCCTTTTCGCCCTCACTGTCAGATGATATTTCTATACCTTCTCCCTTGCGGAGGGGTGAGGGTTTCCTACACAAACATTTCCTTCCACCCCTGCCTACCACTGGCCCGCCCATGAGCCCAATGTATAATTTTCTCTTCGTTATCCTCCTCCCTTGGCTTGGTCCAGCTTCTTCCCCTCCGATAGGCCTGTTGATCGCCCCGCTGTCGTTCTCGTTGTTGAATTTCATTTTTGTCTTTTCTCATTTTACTCCTAAGCCCTGTATAACAAAACAACACCCACAATGTCCCTCACACACTCGCGCCCCCCCCCCCTCCTTAGGCCGGTAGACATTCCCAAAATGTACCCAGTATCCCTCGCATCACGCCCCTTTTATACATGCGAATGCGTTGTTTGTGATGACCCCATTTTTTTTTTTTTTTTCCTGTCAAAAACTATGGTACAATGCCCCAAACATCCCTTCCCATTGTCACACAAGCCAGATATTGCAAACCCCCAAGTCATGTTGCCTTTCAACCTCAAACAGTCCAAGCCAAAGCGTCAGTCCCAAAAAAAATGACAGTCCCACGAACATGGTCAGAGACAAACCATAGTGTGGGCAAGGTTGTGGTTAGTCTTAAGCTTGTGGCTCCTCTGTTTCCTTATCTTCGGCCTCCTGAAGCCATTGCTCCACTGGGTCCCGACTTAGAAACCTGACCAGTCATTGCCCCAGGAAGGGCCTTTTCAATCCAGTTCCATCTTAATCTTCCAGTTCGAAGGTGTTCAGTCCTACCCGCTTGGCGACCCGGTAGGGCCCTTTGAACCTCCTTCCCAACTGTCCTGACCAAGTACTTTCTAGTGCCGAGTTCCTTAGCAATACCACCTCCCCCACCTGAAGCAACTCCTTTCTGACATTCTTAACATGGTCCCACCTTGCTTTGTCCCTCATTCTGCTGTCCAACACCTGGTTGACAATGTCTTCCATGACTTTCTTATTCTTAAGGATTTGTTGACATCTTGCCTCGATTAACTCTTCAGTGGTCATTTGCGGATTATCATCTAACCTATTCCAGGTAGGTACCAAGGCTTCCACAGGAAAGTCGATCTCTCTTACATCCTGTTGTCCTTTTAGGAGTCATATTCTCTGCAAAGACAGCCTGCTTAAGATACCTAGGCCAGTTCCCCAGATGGTCTGCTGCGAGCTTTGCAATCGTGTTCTTCAAGGTTCGGTGCCCTCTTTCCACAGATGCATTGGCCTCAGGGTGATACGGCTCTATGAGTTTGATCGGTACGCAGAGTCTCTTAAGCATCCCCAATACTTTTTGGTTCACAAGTTCCGTCCCATTGTCTGCTATAAACCTCCTGACGAACGGATGCCTTAAGAAGAAGTCTTATATCCAGTCCGCCACACTCCTCCCTGTCTTTTTCTTGAGGGCGACTACCTCCACGCACCCACTCAAGTTGTCTCGCGCATCCAGGATATACCTGTACCCATCCGTTGATACAGGCATGACCGCAAGGTCGAGGTGGACTAGATGTCCCGGCCCTAGCACCCGCGTTGGTCTAAGCGGCTCGAAGAATCGTACCGAGCTTCGTTCTTGGCAAATAAGGCAAGTCTGGCAATATATGGCGACCATGCCTGCCATGCCTGACCAATAATAGAGCGACGTTATCTTTGCAAGTGTTCCTTTGGACGACCGATGACCTCCAGCTAACCCGTAATGCATTGCCTGGATAACGTCTACTTGCCTAGATCTTCCACACACAACCCTTCTGGGCATAGCACCTTCCTCCCTTCGGAATAAATGCCCGCCCCTTAGGACGTACATTTCGGTTTCTTCTCTTCCCTTAATACTGACTTCTATAGGTTGTTTGTTTCCTACCAACAATAAACTGATCTCCCGAAAGAGCCCTTCGTATGATTGGACATAAAAAAACTCCTCTCCTTCCTTGCCCCCATCCTTTCCTATCTGCATCTGATTTACCACCCATTGCAACTCTTTCCTTTCCCAAGATTCCACTAAGCTCATCACTGTTTCCCAGCCTCCTTCGACCGCCATTGCTATTAGCTCCTCTTTCGGTCCTACTATCGCTCCCCATGAGTCATTTTTTTCTCTGTGTCCTCGAGTGGTGACTGGTCCTTCTGTCAGTTCTGCTACTACGGCAGGCGCCCCCTTCTCCAAAGTCTGGATCAATAGTTCTCCCGATATGCATTCTCCGCTCATCATTTGGTTGTCCACCGCAAAAGTTTCTCCTTCGTATTCGAGGAAGGCGTCTATGGGCTCTGCATCCTCCATCCCTTCGGGAGTGATGCAAACCCGACTCAGCCCATCTGCCTTATTGCGGATTCCAGCAATCCGTTCGATCTTGTAATCGAACTGCCAGATGAATCCTACCCATCTCCCTACCGTCAGATCTATAGGCCTGTAATTCTTTAGAGCCCCTGCGATATTCGTCGGATCGATCCTTAAGATAAACCGCCTCCCAAATAGGTAGGCCTCGAAGGTCTTAAGGCAATGCAGGATGGCTAGGACTTCCTTCTTGAATTGCGAGTACCACCGCTCTGCGGAGTTCAGGGTTCTACTTTCGAACCTAATCGGCCTCTCTTTTCCTCCCTCATCCTTTTGAATCAACACACCTCCTACGGTCAAAGGTCCTCCATCCGTCTCTAGGATGAAGGGTCATCCCACTTCGTCATTAAAACAAGGCGCGGACAGGGCGACTGTCTCAGATGTCAATATGTCCTTGAGCCTTTGGACAACTCCTTCTCGCTCCTCCGTCCAATCCATGGTTCCTTCTTCCCTGATCATAGCCCGGATAGGCTCAGCAATCTTGGTAAAGTTCTTAATGAAGATCCTCCAAAAGCAGACTACGCCTAAGAATGCCCTTACCTCCGTCGTCGTGCGCAGTGGTGTCGGCCACTGTGATATCTTGTCGGTCTTTGCCGGATCCGGCTTCCTGCCGTAAGCACCGCAACGAAATCCTAGTATAGTTACCTCTGGTACTGCTAGGATACTCTTTGGTCCAGTAGCCATAATGTTGTATACTAGGAACCGAAGGAGTAAGTCCTTGATGTCCTGCAGGTGGTCCCACACAAAACGTCGGATCCCTGGCTGGACTTCCGTCTCGTCCTTTTCCTGCGCGCCTTTGATTGGATTGTCATCGATGTAAGGTTCACATTTTTCTGGGAACATGTCCCCGGCCACGGCGAGTATCCTGCGTTGCGCTTCGGCCATCGCGTTTGTGAATCCCATATGTGTCACTTGCATCTGTAACTCGCCTACGGGGGTATGCATAGCGGTGTATGGCCTGTCCCGAACATCCAATGGAAGCTGGTCGTACCCTGAGTACAGATCTATCAGGGAGTAAATGCTCCGACCGGCGTGCGATTCTGCTAATAAGTCAGCCTGAGGTAGCGAGCCAGCATCCCGGATGGTTACCGCATTCAACTTCTGCAGGTCCTGAATCCACCTTAGTGTATTGTTAGGCTTTCGAAAGACGAACTACCGATTTGCGTATGGCGATGCCGTAGGCTCCGCAACGAAGGAGTCCACCTTCGCTCGGAGGAGGTCTGTTACTTCTCCTGCTATCCCAAATTCATAGGATGGCCCCTTGTCATTCCAGCACTCATGTTCTACCGTGTGGATTCTGACCGGAGGGATCAACTTCGCATCCAGCCGTCCCTTCTGGTGATCACTAAATGCAAATGCCAGGTGAAACTCCTGGCAGGTCATTTTGATCAGGCGGGTTTCTTCTTCCGTTAAGAACCCGTCTATCCCTATCTTCATTGTGTTCGTTACCTCATCTGGTATCCGATGTCTCTCCGTTGCCCTTCTTTCTCGGATCACTCGAAGGACCTCTTCCTCCTTTTCCATAGCCTCTTCCTTTGATGTCTCCAGCAGGATCGAGACCGGTTTTGCTTTTTTCCCTACCGGCTTGTACTTTCGAACACTTCCTTCAGGGATCTTTCTCCTAAAAAATGAACAGTCGGAATTGCCCCTGTCGCCTCTACGACTCGTGGTTGAATACTAACTAGTTTCTCATTCAGGCAATATCCCTTTTGCACCTCTCTTTCGAACTTGGCCAAGAATGCCGAATCCACTCCTACCTTGTGGTATCTCAGGCCATTGATGAGTTGCAATAGATCGGGGATCTCGAGTTCGATTTCCGGCACGTCTATGCGTACTTCTTCCCGTTTGGGCAGGCTAGCACCAAGTTCGACCTCTGACTCCTTTTCCGCTACCATAACACCTAGAACTTCGTCCTCCTGCCTCCTCTTCTTCTGGGGCAGACCCATCTTGATCCACTCCTTGTTGAATGCTTTCTCAATCATGATTTCTACCCTTTCTCTCATACCCTCCATCCGTGCGAAAGCCCCTTTTCGCGTGCTATCCTCGAACGACGGCGACTATGTTGCCAATTTTTCCCTCGGGGGGTCTCCTCCCATTCCAAGGAGTCGGAGGAGCTCTCCCCGACCGGTCACAGGGTCCTCTATGTCTACCATGTATGAGTCATCGTGCAAGTGCATGCCTATCACCTCCACGTTCGCGCACCACGGTCTCCCGAGGATTATGTCGTGGTCCATCTCCTCCATTACGGTCATCCGCTGAAACGACCAGATCGATTCTCTGACCCCTGCCTTTACAGCACACTTCGTGACGTACCCAGCGAACGGGATTTCCCCGCCAGCTCCCCGGATGCTCCCTGTTACTTCCTTGTTTACCGTACATCCTGTGATCGTTGCGAAATCTCTTCTTATGAGAGTGATTTCTGCTCCCCCGTCTACTAATGCGTTGGTATGATGACTCCCGATCTGGATTTTCAGTTTCCCTACGGGCAGCACATGAAAGCTAAGCTTATTCCCGGGTGGCGATCTCATGACTTCGCCGCCCTTTCGGTCAGGCAAGCTCAAACGAATGTTTGCAAAGGCCTTTTCGAGATCCTCCAAGTCCTGGTGACTCCTATGAAGGTTAGCCACTTTTTGCGGAGCTTCCTCCTCCCTCTCCCCTTCGGGTAATTCGGGGTTGTCGCCTATTTCTACTCGCCTCCGAGTCAACAGTTGTCTGAGCCCTTTGAGCAACCTAGGGCTAGCCTGCAGCATGGTCTGAAAAGACACTGACACCATGGTTCCTAGTAACTTGCTAATGGTGTCGTCGAGCTCAGGCAAGGTTAAGATCGGGATTTGATACCTAAACTTCTTCTTAGCGGCAGTAACTTTGTCCGCAGGCTCCTCTTCCCTAGGCTTCCCATAAACTTTCTCTGGTTCCTCGGCCTCAGGCTCCGCCAGGGGTTCGGAGCTTCCGGCGACCTCCTCCATAATGGCGTCACTGTTAATCCTTCTCCCGGCCGTTCCCAGTCGAGTGGTTGCGTTCACCCTATCACGTCTGTCGCTTTCCAAAATAAAGTTGGTCTGCGGCCCACGCCCCCGGAGCTGATCCCTGATGATCCCGCCCACCGGTTCGGCTTCTACGGCTGTTATTTCTAGACCGTTGAGCATGATAATGGCTCGCCGCATCCCTCCTGGTGAGTTCCAGTTCACCCGTTCCCCTTGTGGTCCAAATATCTCCCCCTTTAATGATCTGGTACACCTTCTTTTCAGAATATCATGGTTGAGCTTTGGGCATGCGCGCACATAATGTCCTATCGCGGTGCAGTACTTGCATTGCTCGTTAGCAGGATCTCTCCGTCCGAATCCCCGGTTTGCTACACCTAGTGGGACCACAGCTTCCTGGGGAGGGAGGGCAGGTCGGGATACTTGCGCTTGCATAACCAGTAGCGCGCCTTCCATCCTTTCAATCTTATTGTCGACCCCATGCACCCGTTCATGTGGACTTTCAATCCCCTTCTTTACCTTGTCGCCCGTCCTACCGGTCAGATCTATGATCTCTCCTTCCTTGAGCAAGGTCAACGTCTCTGTTACTACCGTTTTCTCAGCCAGATCCATTACCGTGCTAAAATCAACATCCCGCATGTTTACGAACTTGCTCGTCTGTTGGTAAGCTGACAGGATCTTGTATTTGTCGAACTCGGAGAACTGCCTGAGGAAATATTTGCTCATTATCCGGTCCGTGACCCTGGGGATCCTTAGTGCTGCTCGAGTAAATTCCCGTATGAAATCATTGTACGTTGCGAAGTTCTTCGTCTGAACTGTCGCTAGGTCGGCCTCCGTTGCCATTTTCTCTGTCGCTAGGTACTTCCTCATCATCACATCCCGGGTCTCCTTCCAAGACCGGCTTGCGGCTACAATGACCATTATGTCCCGTCCTAGGCTTAACGACACATTCTGTCATAGATGGTCCATCTTTTCCTCCTCGGTCCACTTTAGTAACGCAGCTAGGTTCTCGTAGTCGATCAGGAACTCCGTGATGTTTGCTCCATCGAAAGTCATTTTTTTCTTGGCGTCTGTCAGATAACCTTGATTTTGTTTAGTGCTCGCGCGAGGGACGACACTATCTTCTTAAGGCCGCCCTCGGAGCTGCTGGCCTCGCCTGCCACACTGTTATCCGGACTTTTCTTGCCGGCCTTCTGTCCCTCCCTGGTTTTCATAGTTCCTTCCGGGTCAAACCATCCCAACACTCTTTCCCTAAGGCTCCAAAGTCCTTCGCATCCTCGCGCTACTGCTGGCGCGATCGGCAGGCGGCTATCCCTACTGTCCATGGCTGGCGGAGTCGTAGCCTTTTCTGCTTCCATCCCTGGAGAGTTCTCTCTCTCTTTCCTTCTCTTGCTCGACGTTCCCCCACGGTCACTACCTTGATCCCCTTATCCAGTCCCACCTTGGTTGGCTTTCCGTTCATCCCGGGGTACCTCCTGCAGAGGACCTTCTTCGTTCCCAGTCATCATTTCCTCAATCAGTCTTGCCTTGTATTCCGCGGTCCTCTTGTCTATCTCGACTAGTTTGCGCCTTGTGTCCGTGACCTTTACTTTCTTAGGCATGGCTCCTTCCGAGTTTCGAGGGCTTGTCTTATCCTTATTTCTGCCTTCCTTGGCCCCCTGGGTCCCTTGCCTGCTTCCCCCGGCTTTCCCCGAGCTTTCTCCTGTGGAGATTTCCTTCCGGTCCCCTTTAGTACCATCTGGATTTATCGATTCTCTGTCCTTCTGCCCCCCTTCGCTTCGCGCGGCACTGCCTTCTAAGCCTGGTTCTCCTTCACTCTTACGGTTATCTGTCTCCTCCTCCGTTGCCATTTTGCCTAGTTCTGCATAAGCTAAAGAATTCCCAGGACACACGCAATGCGAGGTTTTTAGGTTCCCTAGGCTCCCAGCTCTGTTGGCTTATCTTTATGGTCTCCTTTCCTATCCCCGTTTCCTGATTGCCCTTCCTTAAGGAGGAGCCACGACTGGCCCTACTGCCCAGCCGAGCTATGAACGTGACTGGGTTTCCTTTATCACAAGCTCGTTTGTAGTGCCCTTGTCCCGTCGGCCGACACGAGGGAGTCCGGGTTAGGCATCCTGCTAGGGGAAGCCTTCCCGAGCAGCGTTTCCCATTTTTGACCTTCAGGGTTATGGTCAATCATTAGGAGTCTGCTCCCCCCCTTCTTTGTTTTTCTAGTGGGTTTTAGCCATCCAGGTCCGAGGCCCCTTTCTTATTCCCATCGGCGAACTTCCATACGCAGCGAACTATACTCGATCTGCCCTCTTGACCCGCCTGCGGATGCTAATCCCGCTCTCGCCCTCGCGGCTCTTCTGGCTCAGTAGGCTCCTCGAATAGTTGAGCCACCCCCGTTAGATAATTCTCCCCTATCTCGATTTCCCTTTGGATTATGCGCTCGCACCCTGTCCAGTTTAGTCGAGGCGCACAAAACATCAGGATGTGGATGACTTCTAGTAATTCGTGGGCCCTGTTTTCCCAGAACGGCCCATGCTCCACAGCGACATTGTAGAACATCTCAATGGTAGGGGAGAGAAAGTGGCCTGCCCAGACTATCGTTGAGTCTGCTAGCTCCCGCGCCCTTGCGAGGCTTCCGAAGACGAGGTCTATCATAAAACGGGGCACTCGGCATCTCAGTGGTGTGGTCGGTGCCCTGAACTCCCTCCAACCTCTCATCTCCACCCGGGTTTGCAAACCCACATTCCTTCTTTCCCTGACTGAATGTCCTATCCAGGTCAACATCTGGGCGACCCTTTGAAAGACCGGTGCCAGCTCGTGACCTTGTGCTATCTCTACCCCCAACGAATGTCAGGCGATCTCAGGCAGATACATGGTCCCGGTAACCCCCAGATTGGAGAACAGATCGTCTCCGGGTCCTCGGTTGAGTCCCATCCCTGTCCACCAACATTCTACCAACATGAAGGTGGCGTCCCTTCCCAAAGTCACGGCCCGCCATTCTACGTCGAACCCCCGATAGGTAGAACTCGACGGGAGGGATACTTCCCATCGCCCACCGTCGTTCCAGGGCGGTCCGGGGTACCGGGGCTGGCGTTCCATTCGCACACGAGGCAGGCGTTCCACTTGCTCACGTCTTGCTGCCATTGTTACCTTGGTGATTTCCTGCATAGTCCACATAGAAAGGGTTACAGCCAATCTTCAGGATCCGCCCACCTACTGTCTCCCTTGCCCTTCGTGTTTTCATTTATCTTTTCTAGTCCCAACTATCCCTCTATACCCCCGGGAGCGGTAGCCTCCTCTTGTTGTTCGTACAACCGGTAGAGATCATTTATGTAGGTCGCGCCCCGACCTACCTCTCGCCGGATGACTCTCCACATGGTCTCATCGCTTATTTGTGGGAATCCTGGCCTAATATTTACCGCAGCTCGTAGAATGCAAAGCACCTCGCGCCCTTGTTCGTCCCCGAAAGGCCCCATCTCTAGGAAGGTCCGATAGTATTCTCGATACTTTAATGCTAGTTACGACAGTCACCGCCTGCTCCACTCGTTCTATGCCTCTCATTCGTCTTAGCAGGAAGGGTGGTAGACTCATCCGTACGACCTCATTTGGCAGCTCAAAACCCCCTGCCGCGGCGACTTTTACCTCAGCCGTCACGTCATCTCATTCCGGATCTGCAAACTCAAACCCCTCCCGCCATGTTATTTGCCATGCCCCTTCGAACATTCGTACGGGGTCATCCCCGGAAGTCAAAGCAATCCCAAAGGTCCGCCATCCCTCTTCCGACAGGTGTAACGATCCCGTCGCATGTACACGCCCTGGGAGGTTCAAGTCTATACCCCCGAACTCCCCTCTCGCACGCCATTCCAGCTCCACTACTAGGTACACCGTATCTTCCACCAACTCTACCCCCACCTAGTCCATTACCGGATTGCCTACCGTATTTCTTGTCGGCAGGCTTATTTCAACCCTGCCCTCTGATATTCTTGGTGGCAGGATCCCACGAGGTCTATCCGCCCAGAACGTCATTCGTCGGACCATCTCGCAATGTCTCCTTTCCTGCTTTCTTAGTCCGATCGCTGCACCCACCGAGATTCCATGCCTTTCGTGTTTTAGTCTTTCAACCCTCCCTACTTATCGTACACTGGTTCTTGCCGCTATCCCCAACTCATACACGTTCAATTCTACCCCCCTCCCCATTTTCCAGTTGCTGTCACTTCTCCCTTGTTTCGATCTTTATGCACCATCTACGACCTAACGTACACACTCTCTTTCTTATGTTACACCTCACTTCACAAACACCCTCCATACTCAGGCCTTTTCGCGGTGTTCGATCCCTTGACCTCATTCAGTCGAACCACAGTACCTCAAATAGTTTAAAGACGTCGTCTACGTAGGAGGGTGCAGCCGCCGCCTCCCGGCTAACTATGGCGTCCCAAGACTCCGCCTTTACCTCTAGGCAGTCATACCTGCCTATTCTTAGGACGATGATGACTTCCTCGGCTTTATCTCCGTAGAAGGGCCCATATTTCAATGAGAGCCTATAGAACTCCTTAGTCAGCCAGACACACTCTATATACACCTTTCTCATGGAGTTGGCTACTTCTAAAATGTGCTCAAGCCCCCCAAACCACTCGGCTATGAATTCAAGTACCCAAGCCGTTATCCGTAGACTTGGAGGTTTGAGTTCCTTCCATCCTCCCATCACAACTCTGCTACTAACTTCGTCCCATCCCTCGTTGGCGAACAGCTTGCCTTCCTTTCGGGTTCAGGCCTCTGCATCCCCTAGAAGCCACATCGGGTCCTGTCTCATTGCTAACATGGTGCAAAACAGGTGCCATCCATCCTCGGAAAGGACAATCGTTCCAACTGACTCTACCTTGTCTTCTGCTATATCATCCCAACCTTCCTCTTCCCTTATCGGGTTCCAAATCCGCTCTATCCATACATATGACAAGTCCCGCGCAACCTCAAACCCAATTCAGGCGCACGTGGTCCCTCTTCATCCGTTCCCTGTTGGTATAGGCATTTCTATTCCTCCTCTGAGTCGTCGTGGTTCCCAGCCTTTGAAGGGGTATTCCATCATCCTTTCTTCTCTAGTCATCTTTCCCTTTCTTGCACAATACCAGACTACCCGTCCTTCCTAAGTTAAGTTTCCCCACCCCTCTCAGAAGTCCCAGTCCTCTATCTCTTCATCTTCGTCTTCGTCACTGAAGTCGTCCTTCTCGTCGTATACCAACTCCCTTACCCCATCTAGAAACGTCTCCCCTATTACCACATTCCTGTAGACTATCCCCCAATGCACAGCGCTAGGGACAAAGATATTGTCTATGCTAAGGCAGTTTAGTATCTCGGCCAACTCCTCCGCCCAGTTGCCCTCGAACGGCCCCATCTCTACTGATAACCGAAAAAAATCTTGCCTAGCGCATTGGTATAGCCCGAGGTTCGTCATGGACTGGCATATCCGTACTAGCCTGCTCTGGGTTCCGAAAACCGCATCCACTAGGAAGGAGGGCAACACACATCGCATGGTTCTTACAGGTCGCCTCATGCTTCCTCTATCCCCAAGTTCCACCCGTACGTCTACCTTTTTCATTTCCATTTTTCTGCGTTGACATGCAGCCCGCACAACCTCTGCTTCTGCCTTCCTAAACAACTCGTTCGGCGTATTCCCGAGTGCCAACTCTATGGTCATAGCTTTCTCCCCATCTTGCGACAAGTAGACCCACCCCCGGGCTTCCACCGTCACTCGGAATTCCAAATCCATTAAACTTTGTAACAACCTCGTCAAGCTGACATTCGTCCATATTGTTTCTATCCAAAGGAAAGCATCATCTCCTTCCAGCATTACCGTTTGATACGCTGGTTCAAGGTCCGTCCACGTTCCATTTTCCGGGAGGACGACCGATACCCCATCCTTTACATCTACTGACATTTTCGGGCCGCTAGTATAGATCGGGGAAGGCAACCATCACGCCATCTTGTTTTCAGCACCCGAC